ATAACGATCGCGAGTGATGTAGACGTATCATACGAAGATTTACGAAAGCTCGATTCTCAAGGTAATGCGCGTCACGTTTATAAGTTAGGTTATGTATGCCTTCGTGAAATCTACCTGTATTTGCAATGCAGTAGCATTTTTCTGAGCGCTTGTTATGTATGTATGCGTGGGAAATGAAAATATCTTTGAAAATAATATTTTTCTTGATTAAAAAAAAAAAAAAATGAGTAGATACGTTACAATATCTGCATAATGTATAAATCTTACTTCAGCTACTGTTTCCATTATTCTTGTTATTCCAGATTTTTTTATTCTTGTTATTCCATTATTGAAGAAGAACAAAAAATTGATGAAAAAGTGATGAACAAATTTTTTGCAAATGAATAAGAAATGTCACTTTTCCTTTGAATCCTTTATTTAAATTATTTTAGTAAATGACTCTCTTCTTTTAAAATTTTATATTAAATTTTTTCCGTAAAGTTTCACTGGTAAATTTTTTTTTTTTTTTATTTCAAGCTATCCATTTAACCTTAAGAACCCTTCACTCACCTAAAAACATGTACATTCATAATCATTACTCCGTTTATAAGATTTGAGTCACATTCGATTAAAATATTTTTGTTCTTGAAATACTTGAAAAAATGAATAGCTATTAATTTAACGTACATTAATTATAATTATTTGAGTTGATTCGAAATAATTAGAAATATTTATAATAAAATTCTATGTGTACATTATATAATTTTTATTTATGATATAAAATAAAATTATTTCAGTTTTTATGAATTTTTCAATGAATGGCTATTTTATACAAAGATGGATAGCTGATGGAAGTCAGTTTAGAATTTCAACAGACAGAAAGTTAGCCACACAGTTCAAACTTTATAGTTCGCAGAGTTATAATTACGTAAAACATCTCCAAAATTATCTTCAAACTTATTTTATTTTATAACGTTTAAGTTCTATTGTAATATTAGTAACATTGATTTTATTAATCTGATTTAAAATTTATATTCTTTTTACCATTTGTATATTTCCATAAAAATTTATATAAAAAATTGTCTTGCACAATTCTGATAATTCATATTTTTTGTTTCGATTTTCGAAAAGATTAATATTCTATCTAGTTTTATCCGTTTATCAGTATAGTTATCGAATGATCTATCTTGATCTTGAAGGAATCTTGATCCAGTGATCTTGAACGATCAAATATCAATGATTCGTACAATCGAACTGGGTGAAATAACCGGATATCCTTTCCTGTCCATATAAGTTTTCCATTGTTAATATTATATCAAAATTCAATAAGATTGATTTTTTTGGAAAGAATATTGAATAACACATCTCCACATTTAATAAAATTAAATTTTTATTAATATATAATTTTATTAATAATGGAAAATATTATTTGTTTGAACTATTTTTGAACAGAATCTTTTTTCTGTGTCACTTTTTATATAATTGTAATAGGAAGATTTCTAAGAACAGGAAGATCTCTTTTTCTCTTTATGAACTTGATATATTACCATCTCTTACTTTTACTTCTTTAAAATGAAGTAGTGTATTCTCTTTTATTGGATGATATTTTTCTTTAATTCAGTTGATTTTAATTCAGTTGAAATCTACAGTGAAATACAGCTATTTGAATTGATATTTTTATATATTTAGCTAAGATTTTATTTTTTTTTTTTGCACATATTATATAATTGATGAAGATTAATTTGTATTGCTTATTAATAATATAATATAAGTGTAGATATAAAAATATAAATATTATTGATTTTAATTTTCTAAAAGTAATTGTTCCCTTTTGTTTGTTTAATAAATCAAAATAATAAAGATACAAATCTATTCGTAACAATATAGTGTCAAATTTTACTTCAAGACTTGTTACTTTTTTTATTTGTTAATATTTCATTGATCTCTACTTTCGCATTTTTGTACATATTATTTTAATTTAATTATATTTCAATTCCATTTAGTAAACAATGATAATTCATCTATTTAGTACGAGATTTTAGAAATTTTTTTTTTTTTAATAATTTTTCAATATCTTTTACGTGTATCATTTCAAATTTTTCCAACATCCAATTCCCAACCCAAATTATATTTTAATTCCATTCGCTCCGAACACTCCAGAACTATTCATCGCGTACAAAATTTCACAATCTTTTTCCACGCATGGTCAGGGGGAGGAGAGAGGTGTTCGATAATTCCATTTCGCCGGATCGTTGCTCGTAGAGATCGAGATCATCGCTGAAACTGACAGCCCGTTCTCAAATAACCCCGGTACACGGTAATCGAGCGAACCTTCTCATGATTCGTATTTTTAAAATTCCAATTTCGCGATCGGGCCGGTGGTTCCGCGAAAAATGGAAACGGTAGCTGCGCTTTCATGTCTCCGTGTAACCGGAAATCCCATCGCCAGCAGTATTGACGAAGAAACGCCGAGTTTTCTGAATAGGCGCTTTTGATAAAGGTGTATCGAAGCGCCCTCTATGTAAAATTCATGCTGCGCAAAGAATCGGATATATATTATTGTTCAGATGGTTTTTGATCTCTGAAGAACAATGAATAAAACAATATGTTCCGATTGATACTGCTTGCATGTCTTTAACGAAATTATGATTTGAGATGTATTTTTGATTTGTTGAATATATTGAAGAGGTTAGATATAAATTACTAAGAAAAATTACTAAGAAAAAATTTACAATTTAAAGAATTTAATTAGCGTAGACAAATTACAATCTAATAATAATTTTTATATACTGACTTTCATTTCGGTTATTTCGGTCTCTAGAATCGATCTTTCAAGATATCTTAGGAATATATTAACACCTTGTACATATTGGTTTTGAGTAACTGTGCGCTACAACGCGATGTATTATTCAAAAGGCGGACCTACGATAATAAAAGCAAAACGCGCAGCTAGTTTTTAATGTCATTGTGGAAATGTAGTCGACGATATTTCTCTCATAAGAAAGAAAATATTTGCTGAAAATTTCATTCCCTTTACCACCACCTTTATACCATCTTCTTGCGAAAAGTCTTCGCTTATATTTCGTTTTTTTTTTCTTTTTTCAGAATTTTGATCAAAAAGCTGGAAAATCATAGAGAACAAAACATTTAATTTCTTCAAGAAACTTCTAACGTCGTTGATCTCTGACACGATGGATGTTGCGGATTTGAAACAGGATTTGGAAAGCATGGAATTTTTGTACTGAAAGAAATTAGATAAATTAGAAGATAAGAAGATATATAAAAAATAATTTTAAGAAATAAATTATTTTGATGTAATTTATTGTAAATTAATTTTTATAAAAGTTTGACGTTTTAATGTAAAATATTAATTTCTGTATTTTATTTTTTATAATATTATACCGTTTTATTTAATTTATATTTTATATAGATATATATATTATTACATTATTGTAATTTATAATTTGTAACTTTTTATAATAATTTGTAAAATTGAAAGCTTTGTAAGATGATTTATATTCATTTTTTATTGTACTAAATTCTATTTTATTTCATGATTATTTATAACATATGAAGTATGCATACATGTATATTTTCCTTTATGATTTTAAAATTCATAAAAAAAATTTATAAACATCCAATTAAAAATATATAAATGTATTATTATTGTTGTAAGAAGAATTGGTTTAATTACATAAAATAAAAAGTATTTTATTTAAAATAATGTCTAATTATTTATTACCCATATAAATATAATTATACTTATAGCATTTCAAAAAAAAAATATTGCAATCTGAATATTCGAAATTAAACTGTAATCAATTAACTATTATCAATAATAATTTTCTATTTCATTTATAATATCTTTATAATTAGTCAATCTTGCAATATTTCAATCTGAATTTTCAAAATTAAATTACAACCAACCGATTTTCAATGCTGCCAATTTTTGCAGCACCGTTACCGTCAAAATCCTCCTTTATTGAATACGTCAGCCGGTGCTTGCGAAAACGTCTTTCTATCTTGCACTTTAATAAAGTCAAAAAGATGCGTGATTCCATCTAACATCTCGCCAAGTAATCCAAATGTTTTCACTCGCGAATTTTTCCAAGAAGAAGAAAAAAAGAATAGAAAAGAGAAGAAATCTCAAAACCTTTTTCCTTCAAGGATAAATTCGAAACTCCTCAAAGATATCTTCGAGATAACGTAACACCGACGAAAAAGTTTCTAAGAACTCTGTCGCCGTCCATTTTATCACGAGATGAAAACCTCCAACTGATCCTCAAAGTGGAAGCCATTTATAATATTTTTTTTTTTTTCTCTTCTGTTAGAGATTCTCTGGCCACTGTGTCACATGATATACACTATATCTACGTGCATTTGCACTGAAATGTATTGAGAATAGTAATTGACTTTGATTCAAGTTTTTATGATTCGATATTTGCCATTCAATTTTTATGACAGTGGTAAATTTCAATGGAAATTGAGGGGGTCGATTTGGAAAATTGTGAAACGTTGACTGTTTGAATTAATAGCAAGGCAAATATGTTCTGATAACTGAATTTTTTTTTTTTTTTTTTGATAATCGATTGAAAATTGGAAAGATTGTGAGTTCTGTAAAGTGAATGGATCGATTGAAAGAGCTGTGAAACATTAACTATCTGAATTGATAGAGAGACAAATTTATTTTGATAATTGGATTTTTTTTAAAGAAACTAAATTTAAAATAATTTAGATTTGGAAATTAAATAATTTTTTAAAATAATTGTTTTCAGTATTTATTATATGAAAATTAATATAATAATGTGTTAACATAATAATATAAGAATGTATAATACGATTATTTTTGATGTGATCATTTTGCTTCAATTAAAAAAAGTTTGCCTTAATTCAAAAAAAAAAAAAATTAATTCAAGAAATATATATTTTCATACAATAATTGGTATTATTGAGTTATTAGTTATTCAATTTATTCAATTACATTGATGGAAAATTTTTTTTACATATATTGTAGATAATAATTAAAAATTATCAGAATAAATTTATCATCCTTTAATTACAACCTTTAGTTATATGTTTAATTATATTTTAACTATTATCAGATATATATCATTGACTAAATATGTATAAAATATTAACTTTAATCCAAATGTGTAAAGGAAAGCTAAAAAAAAAAATTAAAAATTATTCTAATCTCAAAATTCTCTTATTTAAACACTTTCGAGGATACGATAGTACGTAATCAGCTTGTGGTCCAGGAGTATCACCTTGTGGCTGATGGTTATTCATGTGTCACGTGCAGAGCTTTAGAAATGTTCATTGGATGAGGGTGGCAAAGGATCGATGATCGGATCTGAGTAACCTCTTTGGTAAAAGCATTCGATTGGGCTGATAATCGAAGGGCGCCGTCCATGACCTACCACTTAAATCTTGACTACTTAGGAAAGGCAGGATTTCAAAGAGATCAATTCGATGAATTTAGAGTTCTAGGTTGATTCTTTTTGGTTAATCGTAAATTGCAATCTAAAAATAAATTTAAACGTTATTGTCGATGTTATCTTATTCTTTATTTGATTGAAAATTAAATGAAAATATCAAAATATAAAAAACAATACCTGAATTAATTACACACAGCTTTAATCTATAATATGATATAGATTCATTTTCAAATTATTTTTCAAATTCATTTTTATTTTCTCTATATTCTTAATATTCAAATATATCCATTATTCTTATAAATATTTTTATTTAATTTCAATTATAATTATTACATCAGAATTTCGGTAAAATGAATCATTTGATGTTCAATAAAATTAAGATGAAATGAAACATCTTTTATATCTCTATAACTTTAATCTAGGTATATATCTTTCAATAAGATCTTCGATTAAAAAAATCTTAATTGCAAAAATTTTCTTATCCTTTCGAACCTTCCTCGAGAAACTATCGCAATCTCTTGAGATTTCCATTTAGAGCAACTTTTATCTCCGACTGGAATAAATCCTCTAAAAAAGTTCCATTGAAGTTTGCGGAACGTTTGAAAAACAATTCAATGACTGATGCATTGCAGGAAGAAAAATTGCACTCCACCATAAATTTGTAATATGAGAAAAGAATCATGGGATACCAAATTCAAAAAGTCGAGATTAATTCATCTTAATATAAAATGCATAAATATTCTTTCTTCTTTTTTTATGTGTATTTCTTAATTTTTTAATATTTTACTTTTATATATGTAAAACAATTCAATCGAATCTGATAAATCGTTCAAAAAAAATCGTAGATTTTACAGCAAGAAATCAAATTCATTTTTGGCAGTCTTTGAATAATATATCTGAAAGAAATTTTATAGTAAGTTTTAAGTTTGATCTTTCATTTATGATTGAACATGTTACCATTATTACTTCATTGATTATTCCATGCAGTAACTAATCCAAGAAGCTGTATCTCGCTCAGCTGTCGATTCACAGATTACGGGAAATCGAAGAGGTTCGTTGAATGTGTGTTAGCACGAGGAACTTCAAGATTTGCGGTATCCCACGAATTCGTTCCTGTGGAAACTGCGGACTTTAAGCACGGACGATGGATAACCGTGAAAGAAGAGAAAAGGATTTTTCTTTTCGATGGATACCCTAATTCAAGTTTCGTTGGGTCATAAGTTTTTTTAGAGTAGAATGCGTTCCCGACATTAAAAAATGACCATATTCTTGTGTGGTTGCTGTAGAGAATTTTATATTATAAGTATTATTCTTATCTTATTTAGTTTTTAATTTTATTGCTTGTTTTTGTATTATTTATTTTTATTATTTGTTAACTATCTATGAATACAGATATTTTTGTATTTAATATCTTACATGATTTAGATAGATGAAATATTTATGTATACTCCTTTCTTATCTAATTTTTTTTCATTTATATTATCTATTTCTTATATATGTTTTCATTAATTCATATATATATATGTATATATATATTTTTTATATTATTATATATGATTATATATATTTAAAAACTAAAGAAATGATATTTCTTCTTCAGAAGTGAATATAAAAAGTACAAAAATACTTTTATAATCTTATTTTAATTTTGTGGATTATGTCATATTTCTATGCTAGATATAAGATGTAAAAAATTGATTTATATATTCATATTTCTTCTTTTATTCATATTTTTAAATAAATTAATTTAACAATTAAAATTTTGAAATTATTATAGAAATATGATCCAGAACAATTCAATTGTTTCTCAATTTTCAATGTATTCTCAATGTATTTTCAATTTTTTACCTGTTTATGATTTATAGTTTAAAATACTAACAAAAATCACTCCATTCTATTGTATTAGTTTTTAACATATGAAAAGCTTTTTTGCAACCTGAAGCAAGATAATATAATAAATTAATATTTATTATATGGATGTATATAATTTCTTTGTAATAAAAAATTAATTTTAATTATACAATTATAAACTAACCTAAAAGTAAAATATTATTAACATATATAATGATACATTATTTACTTACATATGTATAATACGTATATTTTTCAAATAAATTTATTCTTTCAAGAATATTTTTCACTTATTTTCCACTTTACGCTATTATACACTTCCATATAAATAATTAATAAAATTATAATTCATTTATCGTACTCTTTTCTTTGATCCTATAAACATTATTTAACAAAATATATTGTATGTATAAGTTAGTATGGACGTTTAAAAAATTTTGATGATCAACGCCATCTCGCGTTTGGATCACCGAAGCTCGGACTCGTTATTAGCATAGCAGAATGTACAAGGAGGTATGCGAATTCGTGTGACGTCACAGACAAGGAACGCAACATTGTGCGAGAAGGACAGAGAGTATTTCCCGCCAATCAAAGGACGCCATATTAAAAATTCATTAATTACTCGTTTTCTAATTAAATATTCTGCACTTTTAAGCTTGAATCTTAAAGATAGAACTTCAAGCAAGTTTCCTATAACAATTTTAATGAAAAATTTTTCTTAATTAATTATTTATTAACGATTAACGCGACGTATGTTCTAATACGTTAATGACGCCATATTGAAAATTCATTAATTACTCGTTTTCTAATTAAATATTCTGCACTTTTAAGCTTGAATCTTGAAGCTAGAACTTCAAGCAAGTTTCCTATAACAATTTTAATGAAAAATTCTCCTTAATTAATTATTTATTAACGATTAACGCGACATATGTTCTAATACGTCAATGACGCCATATTGAAAATTCATTAATTACTCGTTTTCTAATTAAATATTCTGCACTTTTAAGCTTGAATCTTGAAGCTAGAACTTCAAGCAAGTTTCCTATAACAATTTTAATGAAAAATTCTTCTTAATTAATTATTTATTAACGATTAACGCGACATATGTTCTAATACGTCAATGACGCCATATTGAAAATTCATTAATTACTCGTTTTCTAATTAAATATTCTATATTTTTAAGCTTGAATCTTGAAGCTAGAACTTCAAGCAAGTTTCCTATATCAATTTTAATCTGAAATTATTTTTCATTAATTATTTATTAATGGTTAATGCGTTATATCGAATCGATATCATTGCCATTCATTACATTTTTTGTAATTTTTTGTTGATATGAGATTTTTTTTCTAAATTTGGTTATATACATTTGAAAAATTAGTTCCTTTTTTAACTTCACATGTAAATTTTATTTATAATTTCGTGGTTATTTAAATGAATAAATTAATTGTTTATAATATGAAGATTTGTGACTCCGACTTTCTGTATAATAATCGTTAATAAATAATTAATAAAAGGGAATTTCAGATTAAAATTGATACAGGAAACTTGCTTAAAGTCCTAGCTTCAAGATTCAAGTTTAAAAGTGCAGAATTTTTAATTAGAAAACGAGTAATTAATGAATTTTCAATATGGCGTCATTGACGTATTATAACATATGTCGCGTTAATCGTTAATAAATAATTAATTAAGAAGAATTTCTGGTTCAAATTGATACAGGAAACTTGTTTGAAGTTCTAGCTTCAAGATTCAAGCTTAAAAATATAGAATATTTAATTAGAAAACGAGTAATTAATGAATTTTCAATATGGCGTCATTGACGTATTATAACATATGTCGCGTTAATCGTTAATAAATAATTAATTAAGAAGAATTTCTGGTTCAAATTGATACAGGAAACTTGTTTGAAGTTCTAGCTTCAAGATTCAAGCTTAAAAATATAGAATATTTAATTAGAAAACGAGTAATTAATGAATTTTCAATATGGCGTCATTGACATATTAGAACATATGTCGCGTTAATCGTTAATAAATAATTAATTAAGAAGAATTTTTCATTAAAATTGTTATAGGAAACTTGCTTGAAGTTCTATCTTTAAGATTCAAGCTTAAAAGTGCAGAATATTTAATTAGAAAACGAGTAATTAATGAATTTTTAATATGGCGTCCTTTGATTGGCGGGAAATACTCTCTGTCCTTCTCGCACAATGTTGCGTTCCTTGTCTGTGACGTCACACGAATTCGCATACCTCCTTGTACATTCTGCTATGCTAATAACGAGTCCGAGCTTCGGTGATCCAAACGCGAGATGGCGTTGATCATCAAAATTTTTTAAACGTCCATACTAACTTATACATACAATATATTTTGTTAAATAATGTTTATAGGATCAAAGAAAAGAGTACGATAAATGAATTATAATTTTATTAATTATTTATATGGAAGTTTATAATAGCGTAAAGTGGAAAATAAGTGAAAAATATTCTTGAAAGAATAAATTTATTTGAAAAATACACATGTTATACATATGTAAGTAAATAATGTATCATTATATATGTTAATAATATATTACATTTAGGTTAGTTTATAATCGTACAATTAAAATTAATTTTTTATTACAAATAAATTATATACATCCATATAATAAATATTAATTTATTATTATTACCTTGTTTCAGGTTGCAAAAAAACTTTTCATATGCTAAAAACTAATATAATAGAATGGATTGATTTATGTTAGTATCTTAAATTATAAAGAATAAGCAGGTAAAAATTGAAAAGGAAAAAAAATTGTTCTGAATTGTACAATATAGGTTTTGTATAATAATTTTGAAAATATGTATAATATAATTTTATTTGCTAAATTTATTTATTTAAAAGTATGTGTTATTTATTTAAAAAAGAATGACTAATTCAATCAGAAATGTCAATGTCAAAAAATCATTCTATATGTTATATTTTAACAATAAATATTTTTAGTTCTTACTTGTACGTAAAATTGATAAACTTAATTCAAAAAAAAAAAAAAATGTAAAACTTCTGTTATTTACCTCTTACAATTTTTTTTTAAATTTTTAATATTTATTAATAGTTTTCTTAATTTTATAGAGACTTACCATTTGAATACTTACTTCTTGTAATTCTCTTTATTTTACAGTTTTTGGTATTTTTAAACAGTTTTCTTAATCTTACAAAAACTTACCATTTGCCATTTTGCAGTTGGATGATTACTATATAATGAAATATATCAGAAAAAATAATCTTAAACCGATCAATTTTTATATCTAATTGTAAAATTCAGAAATTGATAATATTTTCATTATTTTATATCTGAAAAAAGGAACATCATCTTTAAAATTTTTTCATAAAGAATTTAATCTCAAAAGAATTAATTCATGAACTTTGAAAATATACTAAACGAATTTCATTCATTTGAAATAAAAATGTTTTAAAAAAATATTTACAATGATATTATTAAAAGCATTAAATTCAATGTTTATATTATCTAAATTTTTTACTATTAATTTCTTCCAATCACCGATCAATCCTCCCAACATCATTCCATTTCCTCGACAACGGTCTAACAATACAATTCCATCATCGTACATATTTCGACCGATTATAATCCATATTGTTCTCATTGTACACACGTAATGGATTTCGAATCGGTAAATTTATCGATACGAGAGAAAGAAAGGTTAAATAAAAACCACATGGTTGAGTTACGATGGAATGAGACGAGTAACTTCTCTTCGAGGATGCTTATTCCTTACAAAAACAGAGGGAGTGTTTACAAAGAAGAAAGCAACCATAGAGAGATCTGGCGGGGAATTAAGTTTTCACAAGTAAAAGCATCGAAATGGCTTGGAAAAGCAAGTGGAAAAGTTGGTGGTGGTGCGAAAAAGACGAGAGCTCAAAGGAGGGGATGAAACCGGAAACGACACAGAAAGACAGGCCTCCCGCCTCTCTTCTGTCGCGAGAATACCTCTCGGTTGAATGGTGCTCGATATTCTCTTCTTTTTCTTTTAATTTCTTTTTCTGTCGCAAGAACGAAGACAGATTGCCACGCGGTGAACCCTGTTTCCTTTGCTTCCATTCGATTGCTTTTCTCTTTTCATTCGTACCTTCGAAGAACGTTTCATTCGTTTTCTTTCTTATCTATTCGTCCATTCTATACTTTTGTCTCTCAATAAAGGAAACTATTTTTTTCTCCGTATCGAATAGGAAGACTCGAGAGTATGAGCTGTAATCGGTTACGATTGTTGTTTTTAAGTTAGGTTAGGAAAAAGTACAACCGATTATTATAATTATTGCTATTATTAGTAAAATTGATATGAACTTGTAAGATTTTCACGAATATAATTTGTACAAAATTTCTATTCTGAACATAATTAAACTAATTAAACTAATTCTTTGCTAATTATGAAATAAAAGAAAATGCTTAGGATTTTATTCACATTATAGAATAAAACTTGAATACTTTTTTTGTAAAAAAAAAAAATATCTATTTTTTGATTTTGTAAGATTTTCAGCAATATCTAAAGCTTCTTTACCATATGATCATTTGCTATCAGGAAAAATACACTATCTATACATACCTAACAAATTTAACTTAATCTAACCTAACTTAATCATCAAAGCTACATGATCAAAGAATTGGAAAAATATTGAAATATTGAATCGATACGAAAGGAAATTTGGAAAAATATTTGCTTATAAGATTATCTGACAAAGAACTTGTGGTTCTGAAGGTTGTAGTTTCAATTAAGAAACGCTGTCACGCCACTTTTAGTACTCTTTGGCAATGCAATTAGCCGGGTTCGCCACTTCTAGCAAAGGTATCCCTTAAAAGGGCTGAAAGCGCGTGATAATTAAGACACCGGTGCCACTTGCAAGAATAATTAAGTACTGGGGACCGAATAGCGGTCGATGCTTCTTTCCTTGGGGAGATGGATGTGTAGGTGGTGCGGTGATCGCTCGAACGAGCACGCTCGTGTCGTCGGTTCAAGAATATACCTGTGAAAATTAAGTGAGGTTAGGAAATGTTGAATGGGAACGGTGATAATTTGATAGAAGTTGATGAACAAGAAAGATAGCACGTGGTTAGCTTAATATATGAAAAGTTTTAATGGAAAGAGGGAAAAGATGATATAAGAGGTTTGAGGAAACATACATTTTGAGAAGAGAAAGAGATTTTATAAGTAGATTTATTTTAAAAATGTAAAAACAAAAAAAAAATATACTTAGACCTGGATAAAAAGAAAAATGTCGCTTCTGGGAATAGACCTTCCCTAATAGAATTCCAAGAATTCGAATGAAGAATATGTTTACAT